TGCCATAAGGGTGGTGTCATCTGCATATCTGAGGTTATCGATATTTCTCCTGACAATCTTATTTCCAGCTTGTGCTTCTTCCAACCAGGCATTTCGCATGATGTACTCTGCATGTAAGTTAAATAAGCAGGGTGACAATATACAACCTTAACATACTCCTTTTCCTATTTGGAACCAGTCTGTTGTTCCATGTCCAGTTCTAACTGTTGCTTCCTGACCTGCATATAGGTTTCTCAAGAGGCAAGTCAGGAGGTTTGGTATTCCCATCTCTTTAAGAATTTTCCAGAGTTTGTTGTGATCCACACAGTCCAAGGCTTTGGTATAGTCAATAAAGCAGGTGTTTTTCTGGAACTTGCTTTTTCAATGAATCAGTGGATATTGGCAATTTGATCTCTGGTTCCTCTGCCTTTTCTAAATCTACCTTGAACATCTGGAAGTTCATGGTTCACGTACTGTTGAAACCTGGCTTGGAGAATTTTGAGCATTACTTTGCTAGCGTGTGAGATGAGTGCAATTGTGCAGTAGTTTCAACATTCTTTGGCACTGCCTTTCTTTGGGACTGGAATGAAAACTGACCTTTTCCAGTCCTGTGGCCACTGCTGAGTTTTCCAGATTTGCTGGTATATTGAGTGCAGCACTTTCACAGCATCATCTTTTAGGCTTTGAAATAACTTAACTGGGATTCCATCACCTCCACTAGCTTTGTTAGTAGTGATGCTTTCTAAGGCACACTTGACTTCGCATTCCAGGATGTCTGGCTCTAGGTGAGTGATCACACCATTGTGGTTATCTGGGTCATGAAGATCATTTTTGAATAGCTCTTATGTGTATTCTTGCCTTCTCTTCTTAATATCTTCTTCTTCTGTTAGGTCCATACCATTTCTATTCCTGGTTGCTTTAATGTACCAAAATTATATTAATAACTACTGGTTTCAAACAATAATTAATAGTGTCAATATGTTTGCCCAAAATGTTATAACTTATTCTAGTATTGCTATTACTTGGATTGTGTCTGAAAATATATAGCTTGCCACACTGGAAAATTATTTATATTTCAATCCTGGGCTTTTGACCCAAAACGGTATTGTCCATCTTGACCACTCTCCTCTTAAACATATTTGTATCTCTACGATTTTTACCATTTCAAGAAACCAAATTTACCACCACATGACCAAAAATGTAATCCTAACTTTTGTAAAATACACCAGACAAATTAAGGAGATGATTGTATTCAGGCTATTATAATAAGGAGAATGTTCATTAGTAGTGAGTATCTCAAAGAAAACAAAGAGGTCTAGAGTTTGCAGAGGGAGGTGAACAGTGGAGTCGTCGAGGAGTATTAAAAAGTTTCTTTAAATTGAAGTAGACTTTATTGACAGCCTTGTGTTAATTTCTTCTCTAAGAGATCCCTACAGAAGGATGGCAGTAGACCTTATCTCATAATGTACTGAGCAATGCATTCTTTAACGTTTGTCATTCCCAGGAACTCACAGGGTAGAGGGATTTCTAAATCACCCTACTGTTCTCTATGAGCACAGGTCTAATGGAAAGCTCAGCACTGTCACATCTTTGAGGGTAATTTTTAAAATACACCCCAGTCCTTAAGCAACTAACCACTCAGTCTCCTAAAGTGATCGATCCCCTTGACAAGACAGCTGCCATTTAGATACTGTACGACCTAGATGGGCTTTTTCCCCAAGTAGTTTTAATATATTTTATCTGAAGATGACGTCATTTTTCCTGATGACACCTTCTCCCATTTTTATCTTAAAAAACTTTAAAAAACAAAAAGTATACCACACCATTGCTGAGCGACTTCAGCTCTACCTGAACACACCCACTCGAGCACATCCTCCACGAGGCCATCGTGCTTGTCAAAAAACCTGGGGCTTCTTGACATAATGTTCCTCAAATTATGAGCACTGGGAGTAGGAAGTGAGACAAACTGGATTTCTGAAAGTCATTGATTCTTGAACATAGAAGCAGTTGGTTCAACATCAATAGAGAGGGATACTATTTCTAACATGGCATCGCTCTAATTTCCAGGTGAAAGGGCTTGGTAGAATGTGTGTGTGCACATGTGCACAAGCGTGTGTATGTGTGTGTGTAAGAAAAAATTGGGAAAGGCTTTGAAATTTGTTGATTTTCCTGACGAGTTCACCTATGCAGGTTTTCTCTTCCATTGTTTTTGACTAAGACACTTAACAATTTTGAAGAGATAGAAGTTAATGTGTAGATACCTAGTAGGAATGCACCTAATCCCTATCCACAGAAATGCAAAAATCTGTTCAGGGAAGGTTGAGTTGATATTCATCTCCCACAGTGGAAGAACTCAGTTTTGCATCTATTTAAACAAATCAACTTGGGTACTCCTCCAGTCCAGTCCAGTTCAGTCACTCAGTCATGTCCGACTCTTTGCGACCCCATGAATCACAGCACACCAGGCCTCCCTGTCCATCACCAACTCCTGGAGTTTACTCAAACTCATGTCCATCGAGTTGGTGATGCCATCCAGCCATCTCATCCTCTGTCGTCCTCTTCTCCTCCCGCCTTCAATCTTTCCCAGCATCAGGGTCTTTTCCAATGAGTCAGCTCTTCCATGAGGTGGCCAAAGTATTGGAGTTTCAGCTTCAGCATCAGTCCTTCCAGTGAGCACCCAGGACTGATCTCCTTTAGGATGGACTGGTTGGATCTCCTTGCAGTCCAAGGGAGTCTCAAGAGTCTTCTCCAACACCACAGTTCAAAAGCATCAATTCTTCGGCACTCAACTTTCTTTATAGTCCAACTCTCACATCCATACATGACCACTGGAAAAACCATAGCCTTGACTAGACAGATCTTTGTTGGCAAAGTATGGCCTCTGCTTTTTAATATGCTACCTAGGTTGGTCATAACTTGATGACTGATAATATTTATTGGCATATTGCCAGGCATATTGCCTGGTCTTTGGATTCTATTTTGAATTAGTTGTAACAGTTTCCTGGTTCTCCCATTAATTAATGAGTTCAATAAAAATCTTTGATGTGTGTTCATTTTATATTTATATGAGTCATAGTTTTACCTTTTAAAAAATATCCTTTAATATGTAGATGAATATATGTAAAGTTTCATTAAGAAAGAATCAAAGTGTGTAAAGTCTCATTAAGAAAGAAAGAGTTAGTTGCTAGTCATGCCAACTCTTTGCCACTCCATGTACTATAGCCCACCAGATTCCTCTCTCCGTGGGATCTTCCAGGCAAGAATACTGCAGTGGGTTGCCATTTCCTCCTCCAGGGGATCTTCCCACCCCAGGGATTGAACCCTGGTCCTCTTGCATTGCAGACAAATTCTTTACTGTCTGAACTACCAGGAAAACTGATAAATTCAGACTTATTTTAGAAGGGAAAAAGTCTGAGTAAAGCACATTCAAAGAAATAAACTTTTATTACTTTCAGGTTTAGAATGAAAAGTATTATCTAATAGAGATCAATATTTAATAGTTTGTAATGAGCATATCATTTTTCTAAACAAATTAATGCTTCTAAGAGCATCTCAACACAGCAGCCTATTTTAAGTGTTTTTGTAATCTTCCTCTAATCTTACACTCTCTTTAAAAAGAAAAAAAATATGTGCTATGTAATGAAAACCTTCAGCCCAATTATTCCAAATTACAAATTAGTGAAATCTCAGTTTAATGAAATTTTACATATGTAAATTGACAAGACACTGATTCTTGGAATGCTTGCAATGGATGCAATTGAGACCTGAGACGTCAGATAATACAATACAGAAATCCCTTCTAAATTGATCTTGCTGGGTTATCAGCCAGCCCCCACCTGAATATATCTATTAACAGGGAGCGTACTATCTTTCCAAAAAGGCTATTTCCTTGTTAAAAGCTTCTATGGTTTGAAAGTTTTTCTTGTAATTAATCAAAATCTCCCTCCTTGAATCATCCACACTACAGTTCAATTTAAGTAGACACAAAATCTTTCTTTTCTTTTTCCTCTAGAGGCATAGCTTACCTGCCATTGGGGATTCTCCAGGGGGCAAAAATAGGTCAGTAAAAATCATCATAAGCAAGGTATGTCTTTTTATATGTCCTCAGATAAAGTTGAGAGTTAACAAACAGCCCACAACATTATTCCTTGCTTTGCTTTTTGTGAATACTTCAGTAGATATTCTTTGAAATCCTGAAACTTGGTTGAAAATTTCAAAACACCTCACCTCCAGAACACCTGATTCTTTCAAAACCAGGACAACTAACAGTAAGATAAGATGTTGTCCTAGTCCGCTCTGTTTTCCTATTCTTCTAAAATGTCAAGGAGCCTCTTTTCCTGCGGGTAGTGGAACTTTTTATGGTTTGCCCAAAAAAACAGCCAATATATAACTTCACATGACCTGGAGCACCAAAATGGTGCAAAGGACTCTGTCTGTGACACCGTTCGTCCCATGTGAATGCACAGTGAAAAAAATTCATAAACAGGAAGACATCTTAGTTTCCTATATGGCTTTCTCCTCTCCTCCATCCCACTCCTTAAGAGCAGGGGCCAGGCTGACAATAAGACTAGAAATAGAGTCTCTAATGGAGGAGACACGCTGCGGAACGCAGGGTCTCTCACCCCCTTTGTGAGAAGAGAGAAGTTCCTGCCACTTTTACAGATTATTTTGCTAGGGAATAAAGAAAATCTTGCCATTTTCCCTATGTCAGATGTAAAAATAAAAAGCACAGAAGAGAAGAATGGGGCCGTAAACTCGATATAGTGTATCGCAAGGGAGTTGCATCAGATAAACTACGGAGACAGTCTCGCTGATGCTCTTGTCAGAAAACACATGGTATGATGCACTGTGTATGTGCCAGATAGCTTCTGCACTTTCAGAAATGTCATTTCTAAAAATGTCTATCCATTTGGAAAATAAGTATGCAATAAATCTGTAAATATTTATTATAAAAGCAATAAGAAAACAGTAAAGAATGAATGCTGCTTCTGACAACACTGCATAAACTGTTACCAACAGACCTTTGGAACCGACAATTCTGTTTCCAGATCAGGGGCCAGGTCCCAAACACGACAATGACTGAGGCCACAGCAGTACCTCCCACAGCCACCCTCCTGCCGTCGGAGGTCTACCTAATCGAGGTACCAGATGATGAGATGCTAAAACATACAGATCTTGTATTTCTGAATCCATATGTCTTGCTTGATCAATGAACCAAAATAGTTACTCTTTGGAATGGAAAAACTGCAAGAACTTGCTGTTCTTTTTTGTTCTCAGTCCTACAGGAAAGGGCTGAGAGACAAGAATAGGAAAAGAATCTTGACAAGAATAGGAAAAGAATCTCCCGTAGAAGGATATTTGCACTTCAGGACTTGGAGCACCCCAAGGCTGTCCTTTCAAAGCATCCTCTTCCTTTGCCAGTGGTCTCTCTGCTTTGCTTGGCAACTCAATTCTCTCCTCATTAACAAGCTACGTGATGAAGGCTGGAGGTACCTCTGTTTATTTGAGAAAACCAAATTAGCTCACCTTTCCTAAATAACTGTCTTCTGGACAACTTAGCTCAACACTTCTTGCCTTAATCCACAGAATTAGAACATCTGCTTTAAATTGAAGATGTACAGAGGGAATTATACCTACTCCATCTAGAGATTATTTGCTTCTGATGTCATTCTTGATTAGATGATTTTGGAATTTTGATTGCTTCACATTAGATCATTATGATTTCAAAATGCAGCTTGTAAATGTATTCAGTTCATCAAGGGCTATAAATATAAACTACAGGCCTTTCCTTTGCGTGGGTCCTCTTAGAAGCTTGTAGGTTCACAGGAAACCAAGAAATATCTTCAAGAAAAGGTGAGAAACTCCTACATTAAGAATAATTTTCTGAACATCTGGCCTCAGATTCAAGAGTTTGATAATCGTGTGCTTTCTCTGGTTTGAAATTTAAATTAATGACTACAGGGTAATGAAGGCTGGCTCTTTGGAAAAACAGATGTAAAAAATTTGAGGACTACTCATGCTCTGTTCAGTAAAACAATTACATGATTAGGTAATAAAACTCCTCCAGATTTTTCTTCACGGTTTTGGATTCTATCTTCGACTTTCTATTCTTAAAAGAAACTGTCCATTTTCTATCCACAGTTCCTTTGCAGAAGGGAGATTTGGATCTGACGCGGTGAAATAGGGGTGGAGTGGGGGAAGGAGTATCTATTTATAGAAAAAAAAAGATTTCAAGTTCCTACATTAAAATCCAATTTCATGTATTTTAAAACTCAAATTCCCTGGAATTTGATGGCTTCTTTCTTTTAATCAGCTAAATATATTCTACAAATTTAAGATTCTCTGATTCTACAAGTTTTATGTGCATTCTACATGCACGTGTCACTGCTGCTATGTCTAAGAATGATGAAGAAGGGATAATAAGATGTGCATCAGAAAGGTGGTGGGTCAGTTAGCAGGGGGAACGGGGAGCAGCATCATTTACTTCCTCCAGGTTGCAGTTCAGCAGGAAAACTTGCCTCGCTGACACACAATTATGTGTCATGAGTTACAGCAGTAATTAAGTCTCTAGAACAGCGAGCTACCTCAAGAACCCCGCAGGATTTCAGGTGGCTGGCTCCCAACACTGAATCATCTAGTACCTCACTGTGCCTCATCCATCTGCATCACCCCTTTAGTTATCACCACGCTAAGCCAGGAGACTATGTTTGGCTCTAAGACACATTTCTGTTGTCTGCATAGCAAGTAACCTCTCTCTCCATTTCCTAAATACTTTCTTTTAAAAGGAGGCTCATTATCCCAGATGGGAGAAAACCAAGTGTCTCCATCACTCTCTTTTCTCCCTTTCGCAGAGCTCCTCACCCAGGGAGTGAGCGCGCTCTCCCATCTCAGGGTACCACCTCTGTAAAGGTCAGTTACAGCCATTTCTTTTCAGTCCTCTGGGCCCCTTCTGAAGCTGGATACACACTGGCAATGGTACTTTCTGTTTATTCATTCAGCAAATATTTATTGATGCACCAACAGCTGAGGCATGTAGACTAATTATCTTCGAAGGGAGAGAGAGAAGGAGACAAATGAAGAAAATGAGAGCCATAAATCCAGAAGAAGATGGGCTTTCACAGGAACACCCAGAAAGCCAGGCTGTTTTCTAACTTCTCCATCGCTGTGTGGGTCCTCTTTGTTGGCAGTGCAATCCGCACCCCCCTTAATGGGATCATATGTAAAGAGTTAAGCATCAGAGAGATGTCATGTTATAGAATGTATGGACCTTTTATGTACTTGCGCAATGGGAATATTAAAAAGAAAAAAAGAAGAGGAGGCATTCTCACACCATGCCCAGCACAGACACGTCTCAGAGCAGGATGGGAGGGGAGCAAGATCACTCCAGGTTGTAGCTGACAGGCCAGTTATTTGTACCCTGGGCTCCATGAAATGATCCTCGCAGTTTTGGGGAACTAACTTCTGCGACCAGGTGGCAGCCCAGAAGTGACTTCCCTGGGGAGAGGAGAAGTCACACGCCCCTTCCTTCCTGGCCGTCCACGGTGTGGCCCCCTTGCCTCACCCCGTGGTCTGGAGGCAGGGTGGTGGGATCCATGCAGACTATGATTAAATGACTCATCTCCTTCGCGTGACATGTTTGTGAAGGTTACTCACCAGCAGCAGCAGGGCCCCAACTCCGCTGTGGGCACGTGTCAAAAATGAGTCACGATAATAAGGGACCTGAGGGAACACCTACAGTTTGGGTGAGGAGAGGAGCAGTGGTTGTGCCCAGAGGCGACACTCAACCCAGCACTTTCCATCTGCCCTTTGGAGAAACCTGACCTTAACAACAGGATCAGTTCTTGGTTTACCGCTAGTTACTCAGTTGAGACCACAGACTCGTCTTCACCCAGGACGTTGCTGACGGTAATGACGCCCACGTCTTCAGTCCGGTCGACAGAGGCCCTGGCCCTTGTTCTTCAGGGTCCCTCGGCACGGCCAATTAGGAGAGACCGCGAGACGAGAGCAGCCGCGGGCCTCCAAGCCGAGTGCACCCCACCCATTCAGGATCTCAAACTCAGTGAGGAGAAATGAAGTAAAATGAAAACGAGCCGAGCTCTTAGTTGTTGACTTGTATGTTAAGGAAGGCATATATTAAGAGTAAAAGAAAACAGAAGCAGGCTGTCACTATGTTTTGTTGAAAAAAAAAAACACCTTGAGCCATTCAAATAGAAAAAGAAGTAGTGGGGAATTGTTTTCAGAGATTTCCTTTAAAGTTGCCATGAACAGACAGTGGCACTAGAGGATCGTGGGGGATAATTTTCCCAGTAAGTGATTCAGAAACTCATAGTGGGACAGAGCAGCTGACATTCATTAAGTGCTAACTCATATCAGGCCCTATGTGACTACACGTATCAGCTTATCTAATTTTTAAAAGGCTTCCTTGGTAAATAGTAGTATTCCCAGTTCATAGACAGGGAAAATTGGACCTCAATTTTTTTTTAATGCATATCTTAAATAATAAAGTCTAAAAGCTCTTAGAACGACATTTCTTTTTTACTTCCCTGCAGTATTCCAGTACATAAAAGAAACCTTGGTATGCAGTAGGTGGAGCTCTTTTAACATAATATGTTATATATCATATATATGTATGAATATTTGGTTAGCATTCATCCTTTTTTAGGGCTTCCCTGGTGGTTCAGCTAGTAAAGAATTCTCTTGCAATGCAGGTTTGATCCCTGGGTTGGGAAGATCCCCTGGAGAAAGGAATGGCAATCCTCTCCAGTATCCTTTCCTGGAGAATTCCATGAACAGAGGAGCCTGGTGGGTTACAGTCCATGGGGTCACAAAGAGTCGGACACGACTGAGTGGCTAACACACACACACACACACACATCCTTTTTTGGCTCCCTAGCAACCAGCTTTACTACTTGAGAGATCTTTCCCTGGGTTATTCTTGATGCTCCTGTGAATACAGCCACACCGAAGGAGCCAGAAACTCTCTTTTCTTCCCACTGGCATACACGGCACAGGAAAATGGCAAGTCCCTCCAGCACCAGGACTTTCTCCGTGAGTCACAGACACAGAGGAACAGAGGAAGCTAGAAACGACCCCAGCAGTAGCAGCAGAGCGGAAAGCCGAGTTATAAGGTAGCCTTCAGAATCCAACGGCAGAAAGAGTAACTAACAACACACGCAGTGGATAATTAAGTACCAGGAAGGCCGTACAGGTGATCCATAGTGAGCATTCTGAGTTAGAACACACCAAATGGATTGGAATAGTCAGAGGAGCAGTTGTTGGAGAGGTTGGGGCTTTGATCACACCTTGCAGTACACACAAGATTTGGAGAGGGAGGGTCACCTGATCATCCACCAACAATCACAGCAAGCCCGAGTCTCTGGACTCTAAGATGAACCTGAAGCTTGTGAGTGTGCTTGGGCCCAGAGAGGGAGCAGGGGGCCACGTCACGGGGCTGTGCTGACTCCCTAAAGCAGAATCACTGCAGAATCACTGAATTCTCACACCGCGTCGAACTAATCCAATTTGATCTTTCCTATACTTAAGACAGTTAAGAATCTACTTGCAATGAGAGAGATCTGGGTTCAATCCCTGGGTTGGGAAGATTCCCCTGGAGAAGGTAATGGCCACCCACTCCAGTATTCTTGCCTGCAGAATCCCATGGACAGAGGAGCCTGGCGGGCTACAGTCCAGGGGGTCCCAAAGAATTGGACACAAGTGAGCAACTAACACTCACTTTTTTTCATACTCAGAAAACAAAGGAAAGCATTGCATGAATCCTTCCCCTGATTCAGTCTGTAACCCTAGGGAAAATCTATGAAGCAGAGGTTTTAGAATCTTTCTGTCACCAAATCATTACTCTTTTTCTTAAAGAAGACCCATTCTGGGACTTCCCTGATGGTCACCAGTGGCTAAGACTCTGCACTCCTAAAGCAGGGGTTCCAGGTTCAATCCCTAATCAGGGAACTCGATCTCAAATACCAAAACGAAGAGTCCTCATGCTGCAACTTAAGATCCTGCGCGCAGCAGGCAAGACCCAGTGCAGCCAAAATAAAATTTAAAAATAAATAAATATTTTTTAAAAAGAGTACCCATGCCAATCTATTTCACTCCAGACGCTTGTTCTCCCAAGACCAAGCTGGTCCACTACCACTAGCAACTGGTTAAGATACTAGCTGATAAGGTGGTCAGCTCTCAGGAAAGTTTTATAATAAAAAGTGGGAAACCTACGAAGCCTCGTAAAGTGAGGGATGGTCACACAAAGGGACAGGTAACCATTTCAGGCAACTGTGTTTTAAAATCTATTTTTAATTGAAGGATAATTACAATATTGGTTTGATTTCTGCCATATATTAACGTGAATTAGCCATAGGTGTATATATGTCCTCTCCCTCTTGAACCTCCCTCCCCATCCCACCCCTCTGGGTTGTTACAGGGCCCCAGTCTGAGCTCCCTGAGTCACACGCAAATTCCCACTGGCTGTCTATTTCACATATGGTAGTGTGTATGTTTCCATGCTATTCTCTCCCTTCCTCTCAACCTCTCCTTTCTCCCCACACCCTGCCCTTGTCCATAAGTCTGCCTTCTATGTCTTCGTCTGCATCACTTAAGCAACTCCTTATTCCACTAGCTCATTCCTGTGGACACACTACATGCGGAGATGGGAGCTAGCTGAAGGCCAACGAATTCACAGAAAGACAGGAGAAGGGGAAGAAGCTTTTCAGAAGGCAGCCCAGAGGAACCTGCAAAACTGGGGAGAAAACGTGGAAAATGTATAAAGCATTAAAACGTCTGTCTTGAAAGAGCCTCTAAAGAATGACTTCACAGTTTGGGAGCATGAGGATCTATAATGAAGCCCAACCAAACTCCAGAAGGTAGATTACTGGGAGAATCAGCAAAGGGAGAGGCAAAGATGAACTATTTGAGCCCAGCCCACAGCAGAGGGGGACCCCAGGTGGATACGAAAGGTTCAGAAAGACATAGCTGTCCCTCTTGGCAGAGGGCAGCATTCGCTTATGCCACCTTCAATATCTCTGATGCGAATTCACGATTGCTCAAGGAAAACCACCACTTTTAGACCCATCTGTTCTTTATATCAAAATGGCTATACTCTTTGCAGATTTAAACACAATTTCCAATACAAAGAGTTTTTTTATGTGGAAATCCATAAAACATATAGAGTCCTTGCTATACTCTAGGTTAATTTGATAATGCTGCATATGTCAATGGCCAAACAGTATATATGATGACCTGGGAAATGATGTAAATAAGCAGATTCTGATTGTAAATCACCCTGGTGTTTGAGGAAGGGCGTGAACTCTTAAGCATCCCATTATACTTCAAAACCCTTCATAAAATGGGTCATCTGGCAACTGAAAAGAGCCAGGATAGCCTTGCAGAAACGTATTCCAATCTCTTTCTGGCCATCAGCTTTTCACAAGAGTCCAGCACACCCACATTCCCCTCAGTATGTTCTTATCCTCTTTCTCTCACCCAGGAGAAAATAAGTACCCATCTATTCAGAGAATACAGTATCATCAGGTCAGGAATGAGCCAGTCACACCACATCAGGATTCCAATGGGCATAGCGATGACTCTTCCCGACTACAAAGGACTTCATCTCTATTATTTCTTTTGAGCCCTACAGTTGCTCTCCCAAGGGGAAGCAAAATAAATATTTAATGAGCCATATGCAAAGCACTGTGCAGGGTGAACACACATTTTCATTCATTCCATCCTCATCAGTACCCACAAAGCAGGTGTTTATATTCCCTTTATCACAGATGAGGAAACTGAGACTCAAAGAGGGGACCCATCTGAGATGTCCCATGGCTAGTAGTGTCCAAGACAGAAGTGCGACAAGGTCCCCAGGCTGGAAAGCCCACGCCCCTCTTTCTGCTGCCGTAGAGTCTCCCTCCCTCCTGAACCGGGGCTTCTCCTGGGTCTGTGGATTAGACACTAGTTTGGAAAAGAGAACAGCTGATGGCTAAGTGCCCGCCTCCATTTTTCTGATGGGTATGGAGGGAGGGGTGAAAATGCTGTTCTAATAACATAATGCTAAATAGTAAGAGCAAGGGGAGTGGGGTGGGCAGCAGGAAGGGACAGAGTCTTTCAGGGGAACAGGTTGGGCGGCCACATTTAGCCCAAATGCCATGGGTTTTGGAGAACATGGGACCCAAATCCACTTCATTATTCCCATTGACTGCCTTTATTGTAGGGCAATATTTCAAACTTCTAAAAAAAATATACCAGTAAACTATATTTGTGGAACCTCCCCAATGGTCCAGTGGTTAAGACTCCTACCTTCCAATGCAGGGGACATGGGTTTGCTCTCTGGTGGGGGAACAGAGTCCCACATGCCATGGGGTGTGGTCAAAATTTTTTTAAAAAATCATATTTGTATATTTTATAAATTGAGGATGTATGTAAAAAAAACAAAGTGCTGTTCTTTTTTTTTCCCTTCCGGTTTTACTGAGATGCAACGGACGCCACAGCACTGGGTTTTAGGTATAGTGTAACAATTTGACTTCCATACACCATGAAGTGACCATCACAGTAAGTTTAGTGGACATCCATCATCTCATATAGACACACAATTAAAAAAAGAAAAAAAAATTTTTTCCTTTTAATAAAAACTCAGAATTTACTCTTAACAACCTTCATATAAAACATACTGCAGTGTTAATTATATTTATCATGTTGAACACTACACTCCTAGTACTTATTTATAACTGGAAGTTTGTACCTTTTGATTGCCTTCATCCGATTCCACCTCCCCACCCCCTACCTCTGGTAACCACAATTCTGATCTCTTTTTCTATGAGCTGTTTTTTAAATACAATTGACCAATAGCACTGTGTTAGTTCCTGATACAAAACACAGTGACCTCGTATTTCTATACATTAAAAGGATCCCCATGATGACTCTAAATACCACGTGTCACCATACACCATTCCATTATTATTGACTCGAGTCCCCACACTGTACACTTCATACCTGTGATTCATTTATTTTGTAACTGGAAGTTTGTTAATCCTCTTAATCCCCGTCACATATTATGCTCACCTCATCTTCCTCCCCTCTGACAACTACCCATTTGTTCTCCGTATCCGTGACCCTGTTTCTGTTTTACATTTGTCCATTTGTTTTGTTTTTTAGAGCAATTTGGCCACATGAAGTTGGACTCCCTCACCCCCAATAACCCAAGAATCCCTCTTCTAGATGTATGACAGACAGACTCTCCCATCTGCATGGAGCGTTCACTGCAACATCAGTTGTAAAATGGTCACTTGGAAGCCACCCACGTACCTATGAGTGTGCTTGGATGTGGTGTCTTCATAGAACAGTATACACAACATCCATTGAAGGGAATCAAGATGAGCAAACCTCATACGAGAATGCTGAGTTAAAGAAAAAGGAAATTGCCTAGACAAAGAGAAATATCATATGATATCACTTATATGTGGAATATTGTTTTTTTAAAAATGATACAAATGATACAGACTCACAGACATAGAAAACAAACTTATGGTTACCAAAGTTGAGAGAGGAATAAATTAGGAATTTGGGATTAACAAATACATACTATATATATAAAATAAAATAGATAAACAACAAGGTCCTACTGTATAGCACAGGGAACTATAGTCAACATCTTGTAATAAACTATAATGGAAAAGAATTTGAAAATGAATATAAATATAAATAAATATATATATATATAAAACTGAGTCACTTTGCTGTACACCTAAAACATTGCAAATCAACTATACTTCAATTTAAAAAAATTTTTTTAATGTTTAACGTTAAAAAAAAAGAAGTCAAATAATATACATATATTTAAACACTGTGTCAAAGTTTAGTCATAAACAGCACAGATTTTTATAGGTACAGCCTGTATTGTTTTATTCCTTCAAAAAACAAGTGATGCACATTGGTGTAACGCTGAGATTTTGATAAATCATAAGGCTGAAATTCTATACTTGTCTTTGTAATATTTCATGATGATATTGTAAGATACCAAAGAAAGTGTGTCTTAAAAATACAGAAGAGCAAGAAGCACAAGAGTCCTGTTCCCTTGAGTGCACCAGCTGCTTTGAAATGTTTTCGGCGGTGCTTCTGCGCTGACCCGGGCTTTACGCATCCGCCGCCCTGCGCCCCGCGCCCCGCGCCCCGCGCCCCGCGTTCCCGCAGCGCGCTCTCCCGAGCCTGCCGCCGCGCACCTCCACCACCCTCCCGCCACCGCCTTCTCTCCTATTCAACAGCTGAATGTCTGCCGAAGACAGATGATGTCTTTGTGTTTGAGCAACAGAAAACTAGGACTGTTGGGCTCATAAAAAGATAATTAAGTCTTTAACCATTATTGAATGTGGCAGGGGGGAAAACACAGAGCACTTACCCAGCCTTCGCGGAGGCCACGCTGGGAGAAGGAACAATTCGAAGGAAGCTGAGGCCAGACAGGGATGGATTTAGACATCTTTACCTCTCCGGGCTTCTATCAGGATAGGACATTTTTCAATCCTGCATTTTTACATTCACTCCGCTCCCACATTTTCCAAAGGGAACGTGTCCCTCCCGGGGGCTGCTTTTCACATGACTAACACAAAATGGAGGACGCCTGGACTGAAATTAAAGGCCTGCGTTATCGGAGTCTTCAGTCCTCTGCTCCGTGCGGCCTCGGCTGGAGCCAGGCTAGCCGCTGGTTGCCCAGGTACCCCCTCCAAGCTCCCTCCGGTTGGCCTTCTTCACAAGGCTCCCTCCGGTTTAGACTCCTGGTCTCCTCTGCCCAGCCAGCTCCTACCCCTCAAGTTGTGCAAGCAGGAGTGGCTCAAATCTCCCTTTCTTTCCAAAATCTTCCCTCGTACAAGTCTTACTAAACTCCGCTGCATTCCTCCTCTCTGTCCTTCATGAATCAAAGTACATTTTGCCCTGTATGCGTGGGTCCCTCCCTGGAAGACAGGGAAGCCTGGAGTGCTGCAGTCCATGGGGTCACAAAGAGTCGGAAACGACTTAGCGACTGAAAAACGACAATTGCGATTCATCGGGCAAGTTTTATCTTTCTGGTCATACTTAAACAAAACAGGGAGGTAGTGTCTCATTCATTTTTCAATCATTCATAATACTTAAAGCAGAGCATACAGTACATGCATAATACATCTTTGTTAAAGGAATAAATATTTCAAAATACATTCTATATTTCAGGCTATTTCATATTCAATTTAGTGGTTGGGATCCCTTGACAAATTTTCTTTGTAGGGAATCAAGATAAATCTTTTGCTTCCTGGTGACCTAAATAGAGCTAATTACAGAAATCAAAGGACAGAGATGATGGAATTGTTAATATAGTCTCTTGACCAGTAGTTTTGGATCCTGGCTGCACCTATAATCACTTGGGGAGCTTTGAAAAAATACCAATATCTAGACCTTTTTGAAGCAGTGAATTTGGGATAAGGCCTGAGTGTCTGGAATTCCAAGTCCCCTCCTTCTCCCCACCCTGGGAATTCTAACGTGCAGACAAAACTGGGAACCAGTGCCCTGCAGAGCCAGGCTGAGGTCTGGGGGTACCAGCTTTGAAAGGAAGCTTGAACAATGTAATAAGCAAAGGGAATGTCAACCCTATTTGCATCAAAGACCACAAACTGCTTAAGCACCACCTTCCCAGCAGTTTTTATTCAAACGATGGATGAGCTCATTCGAAGCACATCTTATCTGTTTGTTAAAGCACTTACTGGATTCTCTTAAATGCATAGGCAACTTCCACTTCCCCTTGTCCTGTCAGCAGTTACTGCCTGAATTTGAAAGTCATAAAACTCCTTTCCTTAAATAAAAATTCTTAAAAGTTCTATAAACTATGTATCTCCTAAAAGAATATGAGGGCTGGACCATGTAGCTATAAGCAAAATGTGGGTACAAAATAATGCCCAGTTGAAAGAGTGGAATATAAAATAGTATTAGATGCAACTGTATGCAAAGTAATACAACTATGGGGTATTTTAATGGAATTTTTTCATTCATTGGGTACAATATACAATAAAGATTCCAAATTATTTTAAAAGTGCAATATAATTCAGTTATAGATTTTCTAGAAGGTTGAGTTGACACTAATTAAGGCATGTTTACATCAGCATTTTTGATGTTTTCCAAGCAAAAGCTACTCTGCAATTCAGTCTCAAATGAATTTCTTTCTCACTGGCTCTATTTTAGTGGCCTCCTGACTTGGAGCCTTTAGAAGGCTTTAGTTCAGTGATTGCTTTTTTTTCAATCTTGCCCTTGAAAACACCCCTTCTCCCTTCAGTGACATCACATAATTGGACAACTCTGGAACTACACTGTTGCTGATCTTTTAATGCCTTGCAAACAGCACTTTTGTCAACTCATTATGGTAAGATGACACGCAGCCTTAAAAATTAAGAATAGCCTTAAAAATTAAGAATAACTTCTTTAACCTTGAAAAAAATTTTGTGTACCTTTTGTCTTCAGAAGAAATGAAGTAGCAATCTGCATTCTTTACTTCACAAAATGTGTGTTTTTTGAAAAACAAGAATCTATCTGGTTGCCTATTAGAATCTTTAAGCAACCTAGCTAGCTAGGAACCCTAAGATTATCTCATTGACAAGGGAAAAACATTTTTTCCTACATAAAATAACTGCTCTTAACTAACAGGAATAAATGCTATTTTTATTTGTTTTTATCTTTAACCTAAGCTATAATTCACTTTAATTCAAGTGGAAAACAGCAGTGTTTCCAAGTTGATCTTCTTAACCTAAGACCTCTTCAAGAAGTCAGACAGCAATAGGAACGTCCAAGTTTTCCTTTCCTTTGCCAAGGAAAAAATAAAGTCAACATCCTTATGTCCATGCAGGATTAATGAAAGGATTTCCAGTTAGTCTTGTGTAAGACTTTGAAATTTTCCTCAATTTTTTGAGTTTCCAAGAGCTTAGTAACCTTGGATGAATGAAGTATTTACGTTTCAAGTCTGTGGACTGGATCAGTTGCTATTGGTGTACTGTTGTCATTATTCACAATGTGAATTAATTTATTCCAAAAGCATAGAATGAATACTTACCCTTGCAATGTTTGGAAGAAGGAAAATCAAGATACAGCTTTTTTCCTTAAATAACGCACAGATTGCTGGGGGAGTGGTAGTGGTGGGGGTGAGGGGGATATGTCTGGAGACCTCAGAAATTTAGTCATTCACTGTCTACTTCTCGAGACAGGTATTCTGCTGAAGATACATTAACAAATGACACAGGCATGCTCCCTGCCCTTCTGAAAGCAGGAATCTATCAAAAGAGACAGGTATCGAAGTACTAATCACACAATTAAGAAAATAATTTGTGATTTCCCAGTTGGCGCTAGTGGTAAAGAATCTGCCTGCCAATGCAGGAGACGCAAGAGATGCAGGTTTGATCCCTGGGTCAGGAAGATCCCTTGGAAAAGGAAATGGCAACCCACTCCAGTATTCTTGCCTGAAAATTTCCATGAACAAGAGGAGCCTGGAGTGCTACAGTCCATGGGAACAGAAAGAGTGACGACTGAACGACGGAGTGACTGAGCACATACACACACTACAATATGGTGGGGGGAAGCAGAACATCCCCAGATGCGCACGTAACAAGAGGCTATGCAGATGGCCCAACAATTACCTCCAAAACTCTCATTCTCTGTGGATCCCCTCACTTTGATTCCTGCTCTCATTACACCCTCCATGGATCAAAATCTCCACTCTTCTTCCTTCTTAGTAGAACAGGTTTTCAGGTTTGCTATGAACTAAGGCAGGAGAGGAAGAAAAATTACCAAAATGGATTTGCAAGTAGGATCTAAAAACACATTCCCAGGGCTTCCCTGGTGGCTCAGTGGTTAAAAAAAAAAAGAAAAGAAAAGAAAAGAAAACCCACCTGCCAGTGCAGGGAACAGGTCCGTTCCCTGGTCCAGGAAGACCCCACACACCACACAGCAACGACGCCCAGGAGCCACAACTATTGAGCTTGTGCCCTAGAGCCCAGGAACCACAGTTACTGACCCGCGCGCCGCAGCTACCGGAGCCGGCCAGCCCTAGAGCCCGCGCCCTGCCGGAGGCCGTGAGGGGCACGTGAGCAGGTGAAGCCGCCTGGGAGAAGCCCGCGCGCCGCCGCCAGAACAGCCCCCGCCCTCCGTGAGGTGCCGCAGCCAAGACCCGGCTCAGTCAGTACTGAGGCACAAAATAATATTTGAAGCAAACGAAATTACTCGAAGAAACCATGGGAAATTTTGTTCCAATTTTGAAGCAAGAAAAGGATTTTCTAAAGAAAATATCAAACCACCCAGAAGTCAAAGAGTGTAGCTTGACAAGTTGGACTACAACAAAATTGAAGATGTCTGAGAGAAATCAGCTGGTGACGGACCCGGAAGCCTGGCATACTGCAGTCCATGGGGTCGCAAAGAGTCGGACACGATTGAGCGACTGAACCGAACTGGAGAGAAATCAAAATCAAAAGACAATGATAAACTGGAAAACAAATAACAATTTAAACAAGTTAAGACAAAATCTTATTTAATAGAAAAAAATCTTTGCAAATATGAGGGCTAACAGTTTAAGAGGAAGGTGGGCAAAGGATATTGTCACAGTTGGTGGTAAAAGAAATTTATAAGACTTTTAACAGATGAAAAGGTACTCAAACACATTTGTGAAAAGAGAAATACAGAGAGAAAACAAGAGAAGGGGAGAGAGAGATTAATGCCAAGTGAAATTAAGTGTTTAATCATACACTATTAATTGGCAAAAATGTTAAGAGAGCAGGCACGCTCACTCATAACAGTAGGAGTACACTGTTGCTAGGAATGCAAAATGGTGTAACCACAATAGAAAACAGTATGGTGGCACTTCAAAAAATTAAGAATAGGATTACCATATGATCCAGCAATTCCACTTCTGGGTATATATCCAAAAGAACAGAAAGCAGGATCTCAAAGAGATCCTTTCACATCCATTTATAGCATCATTATTCGCAATAGCCAAGAGATGCAGGCAACTCTTTGTACACTGACGGATAACTGAATAAACAAAGTGTATTCTATACACAAAATGGATTATTCAGCCTTTGAAAAGGAGGTAAATTCTGATACATGTTACAACATGGGTGAAGGTTGAGGACATTACCCTAAGTGAAGTAAGCCAGTCACAAAAAAAGGCAAATACTCTATATTTTTACATCTATGAGATATCCAAAGTAGATATGAGACATCAAATTTGTAGAAATGGAAAGCTGAACAGTAGTTGTTAGGGGGTGGAGGTTAGAGGAAATGGAGAGTTTTTGCTAACTGGGCACAGAGTTTCAGGGTTTTTTTTTTTCCTTAAAAATTTTTTTTATTTTATTTTAGGGGCTTCCCTGGCAGTCCAGTGGTTAAGACTCTGAGCTTCCACTGAAGGGGGCGTGGGTTCAATCTCTGGTCATGGAATTAAGATCTCAAGTGCTGCACAGTAGAGCCAAAAAAAAT